TATTTTTTGTGCGTTATTATAATCACTACTGAGTAATAATCAACGTTTGTGAAACGTAGCATGTCCGGATTGAGCATCTGTGATCGCTTGCTGCTACGCAATGCAGTTGTGTTCGTTTTTATTAGAAACGTCGTTTAAAAATATACTTTTGTTACCAATAAAATAAAAACAAAGTATTTGAAAAATGACACTGGGCGACACTGTAATGACATTCCAGGTGGCCTACTTTTTAATTCAGCAAGAATTATTAATTATTGTTAATTCTGCAATGTTTTTTTCGTCTTGGGTGGCCCAACTGACGGCGTAGAAAGTCTGTGTAGTTGGGTACAATGAAAATCCCCCCCCCAAATATTTGATAATTATTTTTTGAAATTTTGAACCCCAAATAAGCGCCCATCACCCGTGAAATCCCCAGGGCGATTTTTCGGATGGCCGAATTTACGGCAGAATCCGGTATTATATAAAGAAATTATTATTATGGACATCTCGCGCATATTGCCAATGTTTTATACTGTTTGTAGTTTGCATATGAAAGTGGTTGTTGATGCCCCTCCTATTTTTCGACGTCGTTGACAATGCGATAACAATGCCACTCGCACTGTGCACATTTTAGCACTAGATCTAGTGCCATTTTAGCACTAGATCTAGTGCCATTTTAGCGCTAGATCTAGTGCCAGTTTAGCACTAGATCTAGTACTTTTTCGGATTAGTGCTAGCACTAGCACTAGCACTACGCCCATTTCGACACATTTACATACATGCATATCTGTATACTTTACTCTACACGAAGCTCCTACAGAGCGCCACCATGCGGTTACCAACAGCACGAGGGCGCACTATATAAACATTGGTCGTATACAACGCAGCTTTTGAGGTTTTACACACCAGAAGTGGGAAGCAAACAGTGTTACTGAAAACACTTGCACCATTGACTGTTGTTTGTGGTAACGTCTCGAATGACAAAATGGCCGTCATGGACTACCCTCATCAGATTTACCAAGGCATGCAGGAGCCACAGCCGGTGATAATTTCTCAGCCGGAACCGTACGACCCCTTTGCTGAAATCAACTGTCCTATCACCGTACGGAAAATGACGATAGATGACTCTGAGTTCGCAGCTAGAATGGAAGTTGAGTCTTTCCGAGGAAAATTTGAATGGGCGGTAGGGAAAAGTAGGTAAGTATGACCGTTATTGTGTTAGGTTAGAATAGATGTGCGTAATAATCTCTCGAAAATGGAATCTTGGCGATAAAATACATACCAAATACGTTCAAGATAAATAAACTTCACAGGGGACACAGATATCAACGATATCAACTAATTATCAATAAAATAACATTACCTAACTAATCAAAAATCGTCTTCAAGTTATGTAATTAATTAGTTTTGTTGTTCAATTCCCGACACGTATTATAAATTTGGGTTAGGGTT